TTAAAAGATTTTTCTCCCCCTGATGCCACTATGGCATGGCATCAACAGGCTAGAGCCAAGAGGCCGTTGCCCCTTTGAAGGAGGGGCATGTTCTCCAGTTCTCCAGTCTCTGCATTCCCTCTATGGTTTAGTGGCTCGTTTTGTTCATTTATGCTAGCTACTTGATATTGTGATGCATGGGTTTGCAACTTCAGCTTTATCTATAACCCTAAAATCCCAGGGTGATACCAACACATAAGAAATTGTGTATTTGTGGAGTGATGTCAGCAAGATGGCAGAATAGAGAGGCCCAGGCTCTTGTTCCTTCAGGAATACACTGACTTAGGAATATACAGACCAAACTGATCTTGTGAGAACTTGAGAAACCAGTTAAGAGGTTGCAGCACCCCAGGTGAGTGCAAAGCCAAAAGATACACCAAAGCAGGCGCGAAAATTTGTAAGATGTACCCACCCCAGCCACTCCCTCTCCCTGGCACAGCATGGTCCAGTCAAAGAAAAATCCCAACTCCCGCTTCTCCCTCAAGCAGGAAAGAGAAGAGTGAGCTGTGTATCCAACATTCTCTTGGGGGGCTGCTCAAGGGACTGGCTTCTGTCTTGTCTGACTTAGAACACTGATGGGAACAGCAGTTTGGGCAGCAGGTTGGGGGCTGCTGAGAACAAACGAAAGCACTGCAGCTTGTTACAGCACCAGAGACACTACAGCATCACAGACAGACAACAGTAGGAGCAAGAGATGACGGGCTCCAGTAAAGAAGTGGGCAATCCTCTTTAACTGGGAAATGACACACATAAACCCTGAGAAGACGCATCTCAAGAAAGTTCTGAAAGGTTCCAAGAGCCTCTAGTCAGGGTGATTGGTGAAGGTCTTCCCTTGAACAAAGCCAGTCCATAAAAACTGGGAAAGGGGGCAGTTTTTCAAACGCCCAAGTCTCACCAAAGACCACCAGACCTACAAAGAAATAAGTAAATATGGCCCAAAGGAACAAAATAAATAAAAATCCAACCCTATAAAAATGCAGATCTGGGGCTGACCCTGTGGCTGAGTACTTAAGTTCGCGTGCTCCGCCGCAGGTGGCCCAGTGCTTCGTTGGTTCAAATCCTGGGTGCAGACATGGCACTGCTCATCAAACCACGCTGAGGCGGCATCCCACATACCACAACTAGAAGGACCCACAACGAAGAATATACAACTATGTACTGGGGGGCTTTGGGGAGAAAAAGGAAAAAAATAAAATCTTAAAAAAAAAAATGCAGATCTATGAATTACCTGACAAAGAATCCAAAATAGCCATCTTAAAGATGCTCAGTAAGCTAAAAGAGAACAGATAAGACAATTAAACAAAATTAGGAAAATAATCATGAAGAAAATGAGAATGTCAACAAAGAGAAATTATGAAAGAAAAAAAAACAAATTCTGAAGCTGAAGAATACAAAAAATGAACTGAAAAATTTACTAGAGGGGTTTAACAACAGACTTGATCAAGAATAAGAAAGAATCAGGGGCCGCCCCATGGCCAAGTGGTTAAGTTCGCGTGCTCCGCTTCAGCGGCCAGGGTTTCGCTGGTTCGGATGCTGGGCACGGACATGGCACTGCTCATCAGGCCACAATGAGGTGGCATCCCACATGCCACAACTAGATGGACCCATAACTAAAATATATAACCATGTACTGGGGAGATTTGGGGAGAAAAAACAGAAAGAAAAAAAAAGATTGGCAACAGTTGTTAGCTCAGGTGCCAATCTTAAAAAAAAAAAAAAAGAAGAAGGAGGAATCAGTGAATCTGGGGACAGATCATTTGAAATTATTGAGTCCTAGTAGCAAACAAAAGAAAGAATGGGGGCTGGCCCAGTGGCTGAGTGGTTAAGCTCGCGCGCTCCACTGCAGACAGCCCAGTGTTTCGTTGGTTTGGATCCTGGGCGCAGACACGGCACTGCTCATCAAAGCATGCTGAGGCAGCGTCCCACATACCACAACTAGAAGGACCCACAACGAAGAATATACAACTATGTACCGGGGGGCTTTGGGGAGAAAAGGGAAAAAATTTAAAAAAAAAAAATCTATTAAAAAAAAAAAGAATGAAAAAAAGTGAAAAGAGCCTAAGAGACTTGTGGGGTACCATCAAGAAGATCAACCTACACGTTATGGGAGTCCCAGAAGAAGAGAGAAAGAGGCAGAGAGCCTATTTGCAGAAATAATGGCCAAAACCTTCCCATATTTGAAGAAGAAAATGGATATTCAAAATCAAGAAGCTGGAAAAACTCCAACTAGCATAAAATTAAAAGATTCACACTGAGACATTATAATCAAACTGTTAAAAGTCACAAACAGAGAGAGAATCTTGAAAACAGTGAGAGAAAAGCAACTTGTCATGTACAAGGGAGCTCCTATCAGATTGTCAGCAGACTTCTTAGCAGAAACCTTTCAGGCCAGAAGGGAGTAGGAGAATATATCCAAAGTGCTGAAAAGAAAAATTTGCCAACCAGGAAGACTATATCCAGCAAAACTCACCTCCAAAAATGAAGGAGAAATTAATAAGACTTTCCTAGATAAGTAAAACCTAAGGGAGCGCATCACGACCAGATTTGTCCTAAAGAAATGCTAAAAGGTGCTTCAATGTGAAACAAAATGACACTAGACAATAACACAAAAGCAAATAAAAGTATAAACGTCACTGTAAACGTAAAAATACACACAAATACAGAATGTTGTGTAATTGTGGTGCATTTTTTTTAAATGGACAAATGATTAGCACCAGCATTTTTTTTAAGTTTTATTTAAAAAAATTTTTTTTTAAAGATTGGCACCTGAGCTAACAATTGTTACCAATCTTCTTTCTTTTTCTTTTCTTTTTTTCCTGCTTTTTCTCCCCAAATCCCCCCAGTACACAGTTGTATATTTTAGTTGTGGGTCCTTCTAGTTGTGGCATGTGGGACGTCACCTCAGCATGGTCTGATGAGCAGTGCCATGTCCGCGCCCAGGATTTGAACCAGCAAAACCCTGGGCCACCAAAGCAGAGCACGTGAACTTAACCACTCAGCCATGGGGCCAGCCCCTGTGGTGCACTTTTAATTCTGATACAGAATTTAAAAGACAAAAGCATAAAAAATAACTATAAATCTATATTAATGGATATACAATATAAAAAGATGTAATTTGTGACATCAATAAAGTGGAGGGGTTTGGAGATGTAAAGGAGTGAAATTTTTGTATGCAAATAAAATTGGTATCAGTTTAAAACAGGTTTTAGAGGAAGGTTGGCACAGATGTTAGCTCAGTGGCAATCTTCCTCAAGGAAAAAGAGGAAGATTAGCAACTGATGTTAGTTCAGGGCCAATCTTCTTCACCAAAAATTAAAAAGTAAAATAAAAAATAATAATAATTAAAAAAATAAAATAGGTTTTTATAATTTAAGACATTTTATGTAAAAATTGTATATTTTTTCATTCTTATCTTTGTCTTGAATTGTTAGAGGCCCATATTCAATCACGTCACGGCTACCTCTCCTAAAAATTCTCCTACCACAAAAAGTTCAGAGTACAACTATGAAGTACTTTCTATTACTGACATTTGACCACATGGAAATTTTCAACCAATAATCAACAAACGTATAACGAGTGCCTATATAAATTCAGCATTGAGCTAGGCCCTGAAGTACTAACATTAGTAAGAAACCATTCCTGCTCTTAAATCATTTCAGGAAAGAGATCCATAAACACATACTACTCAAATTTATTTCGCAATGTAATTTTATTTCAGTATGTGCAGTTTTAAGCAGGTTCAGAAATATCTGCCTAAAAACATAATATAATTACAAGAACCTTAAGGATGTAAGGAGACATTTTTTTCTCAAGAGAATGAAGGGAAAGTAAAGCTTTCTCATATCTCACCTTTTCTCAAGGAACATTGAGATGTTTAATTCTGGAAAGCTTTCTGCAAACAGACACATATATCGTTCACTTTCACAACAGCTCTGAAGAAGGCCAGAAGCAGATAACTCATACTTCCAATTAACATCAGTAACTACGGGTGTAAGGCTCTGAGCTGAGGAGTCAGATGCTTAAGGTTCACTGGTGGTTCCCGAGAGCAGACCATAAACTGGCATCTACGTCCCTGGGTCGCACAGTGGAGACATCAGAACATGGCCTTTTTACACAGGTTTTCCATGCTTCTTTCAAGAGAAAGGTATAAGTGACAAGCTGATTATCGGAGACTACTGTTTTTAAGCAGAAATTATCAGGATATGTCATAGGTACAACAGCCAGATTTTGAACTAAAAAAATCAGGTCATATGGTCTGGTGAGCACATATACATTAACAAGAATAAAATCAAATTTTTGCAAATTCAAAACTTCTGGCCTTAGGCTGGCCTAGTAGTGTGGTGGTGAAGTTCCCATGCTCCAGTTTGGCGGCCCGGGGTTCACAGGTTCGGATCCCCGGCGCGGACCTACACATTACTCATCAAGCCATGCTGTGGCGTGGCGGCATCCCACGTACAAAGCAGAGGAAGACTGCACAGATGTTAGCTCAGGGACAATCTTCCTCACCAACAAAACCAAAAACCAAAACAAACAAAAAGAGGGGCCAGCCCAGTGGCACAGCGGTTAAGTTCACACGTTCCGCTTCTCGGTGGCCCAGGGTTCACCAGTTCGGATCCCGGGTGCAGACATGGCACCACTAGGCAAAAGCCATGCTGTGGTAGGCGTCCAACATATAAAGCAGAGGAAGATGGGCATGGATGTTAGCTCAGGGCCAGTCTTCCTCAGCAAAAAGAGGAGGATTGGCAGTAGTTAGCTCAGGGCTAATCTTCCTCAAAAAAAAAAAAAATACACAACTATGTACTGGAGGGCTTTGGGAGAAAAAAGGAAAAAAATAAAATCTTAAAAAAAAAAAAAAGAATTTCTCTAGGATGGCACCCCGACTTTTGGTGGTGAACAAGATGCAGTATATACAGAAGTCAAAATGTGATGAGGTACACCTGAAATGTACATAATGTTAAAACCAATGTGACTTCAACTAAAAAAATTTAATTTAATTTTTAAAAATTTTTTTAAAAGGAATTTCTCTCTCTCCTTTTTGGTGCCTCCTTGGGATCTCAAAGATCTCAAAGATGTAAATTCAAAATGTTCTTCAAAATAATGTCTCTGACAAGGAGTTTCCACTTCCCTTAGTGCAATTTTACAAAAATCAAAATGAATAGCACAAATGACTCAATTCCAGCTGCAATTTCATCTACTTACAGTGCTGTTGCTTGTGATACAAAGGAACAAGTGTGTGGCGAGAACTCAGATCTGCCAGAGCTGTCCACTAACCCTGAAGCTGGCTCGTCCACCAGAGGGCATTCATACGTCTGCACCGAACTCCACACAGGGAAGGGTCAGAGCCCTTCATTGGCTCTACAGATTCCATTATGAGAGGACTGTCACTTAGGTGGAAGAGGTCTTCTCAAACCCACTGGCCTTTCCCTTAGGGAAACCTGAATTTCCTCAGCTGCGTTTTCCTGGCGCTTCAGGTTATCCAGGCGCTTCATTTCATACTCCCTTTCAAGTTTGATGGCTGAAAGAGAAAATACACAAAGTAGTCCAACTGACATTTTTCACCAGGCGTAATTTAGAACTGAATATTTATCACACAGAATCACATTCTTGAACACTAAACAAGAAGACAGGGCTCTGGGTATGAATGAGCGTATTTAAACATTTCTCTGATCATAAGTAAAACAGCACACATGAAATTTATAATTCATTAAAGTAGTTCTTAGGGAACTTACATTCTGCAGAAGGGAGCAGACCGTCCTTAACGGTTTTACATTTTTGGAGCTGTAAAGGACTACCAAACGTAATTTCTCCCAAGAAAGGCAATTGGATGTTGGTTAGGTTCGTATACCAGGTCTGTGTGAGCAGTGCAAGGTCCCAAGGTTCCTGTCTGGGGCAAAAATTCATTAATTCATTCAATACATATTTATTAAGTATCTACTGTGGGATATACAGAAGACATCTTATTAACTCTCTCTGTTCCATTTTCCACTAGACATTTGGTTGACAGGGGGGTATTCAGGATTTTCCAGAGTTGCAAATTTATCCAGGAGAAGGAGATTTATATTAATTAATGTAGAGGTATATTGAAAAATTACCATAAACTCTAATGACAGGAACTTTTGTTCACAATACAGCCTCCCTGGAGTCAACCCAATAGTTCCAGATCCTTTAAGAGGATGTAGTCAAGAACCGTAAGCTCCAAATCTTTCATGGCTGATCAAAAATAGGGTCACAGTAGGGAAAGAACAAAGGGAATAATCACACACTGAGCAGGGTACTTGGCATCGTCTAAGACTTTGAGTGTATGAGCTGATTCTAATCATTACAACCACTATGTAGGCGGACGGGAAACTGAGACTCAGAAGTTAACTGAGAACCAAAGCTGGTACTTGACCTAAGTATATTTATTTAGAAGGACTAGTACCAAGAGAACCCTTAGAAAACTGGAGAGGGGGATGAGATCCTGAACTACAATATTGAAAATAATCACTCTGAACTTTAAATGAATTGTTTTATGTATCCCAATTCAGAAATTTAACCTATCAGCTACATGTTTCTCATCTACAGGCCTGTGAGTTCACACGCACGAGGAAAGGGGAGACATGCTCTGGTACGAGGAGGGAAGTGAGGCGGTCACACGCATGCCAGCTATTCGTTTTCCTTCTGCAGCTTCCTTGCTACTCGAGCATCTAACTCTAAGGAGTGGCCGGAAGTCTACAATGATTAGAGATGTACTTGAACAAGTGCAGAAAGATCTATTTCCAAGAATGTTCGTTGAAGCATTGTTTGCCCACAAAAATACACAAAATAGCCTTGATGTCTGTCAGGAAGAGTCGGGTTAAACAACCTGTGGTACATACATGAAAGAATGAGATTTATCCTTATATGTTGATTTGGAAAGATGAGCAGTGAAAGAGCTAATGTCTATCTGGCATTTACTATATGCTTGGCACTGTTTTAATCAGTTTATACATATGAACACCTTTAATGGCCACACTAACCCTATGAAGTAGGCAGGCGCTATTGTATTGCTCATTTTATGGATAAGGAAACAGGAACAGAGAACAACTTGCCCAAGGTCACAAGGCCGTTGGTCATGGGTTTGGAATCTGAACCCAGGAAGTCAGACTCTAGAATATGCGCTTTTTAACCACTAGGCTGTACAAGACACAATAGGGGAAGGGGCAAAGTTCCATATAATCCCATGCGTAAAAACATGTACGCGTATCTTGCACAGCACACAGAAAATTCTAGAAAAATAACAAACATTTTACCTCTGAGGGGGACTGCAGGGAGAGACAAGGATACGAGAAATAGCATTTTTATTTGCTTTTCAAATGCTTCTATACAGTTTGAATGCTTTCAGGGTTTTTTAAAATAATCTTCTAAAAACACTTAACCAAAAAAAAAAAAAAGCCCAAGTTGAGGAGTTGCCAGAGTAAATGAACTCCAAAGATTGCTACCAGCATTCTGTTCCTCTTAATTCAGCTGCTGTGATAAATAGTATGATTTCAAATACTTTCTTGCGAGAATGATACAGAAGCCACTGGTTTTGCAAAGATTATTCATGATATAAAATTCTGCAGAAAGAAAAAAAAAACCCTGCAGAGTCAGTGCTTGAAATCATTCTCCAGACATAGGAATGTCTTCATCATAAAAATTATGTTCATAATATTGACTGTAATGGTGCTTGCCTATAATTCAAAGTCTAAACACATACTGAACTGACAAAACTTAACAACATGCAATGGTCAGTTTTCTTTAGTTTTCCTATAGCTTTGGTTTCACAACCCCGTAGGTTGTCTCCATTTACTTTTTAGAATATTGTTAAAAAGAAAAATTCAATTGACTGATAATTCTAAGTATGTCATAAACTGTGGCAAAGAGGTTAAAAAAACAAAACAAGTTCAAAAATTAAAAACAAATGGGGTGGCCCGGTGGCCTAGTGGTTAAGTTCCTGCACTCCACTTTGGTAGCCCAGGGTTCCCAGGTTCAGATTCCCGGCGAGGACCAAGCACTGCTCGTCAAGCCATGCTGTGGTACATCCCACATAAAATAGAGGAAGACTGGCACAGATGTTAGCTCAGCGACAATCTTCCTGAAGCAAAAGGACAAAGGCTGGCAACAGGTATTAGCTCAGGGCCAATCTTCCTCACCAAAAAGAATAAATAAACTAAAAACAAGGCAGCACTACAGTATTACAGAGTGAAACTACCACATGGTAGCAATCCTTGTTCATTATGGGTTTACTATATGGCAGGCAACGTACAAAGAGTTTACACACATCACTATGTTCATCTTACAGACGTGGAGGCCAAGACCCAGAGAAATTAAGCAACTTACTCAAGGTCACACAGGGAGCCAGGGGCGGGACCAGGCTTTGAGCCCAGGCCTTCTTCATTGCAAAGCCCATATTGTGCATACATCGCCTGCCCAAGTGTACAGGATGCAAAACTCACTCTTAGTACCAGCTAATTCAGTGCTCTGTTAAGACATACTCGACACCAAGGCATGTTTCAGTAGACTTATGCTATCTATAGAGGTATTTTAAGGCGGTTGGCGGTAGCAGAAAGTGTTGCTTTGGAGTAAGAAGACTCAGACTTCTAACCCTGTCACTTCTTTACTCCATGACTGTGTGACTCTGATCAAACCACATCTCCCAACCTCAGTTTTCACACTTGAAAGTGTGGTTTTGTTGTAAGGGCCAAATAATATAATTTATAAATTCTTATAAAAACACTTTCCTTTAAAAATCAGTATCCAGACACCTGAAAATGGCTCATATAGTCCAGTACCTCATGGGAACTTAAGGGTGCCTGGTGCTTTTATTTTAACAAAGACACTCCCCCGCCCCGGTCAATGCTCACCGTGATATAAATACTTACACTTCATAACACCTGCCCCGCAAAATGGTTTTCACTGTGTTCTTTCTTGGCAAGACATAAGCCATGGTGAATTTTTACAGTCCACTTGCCTCACGTAGGTGCTTGATGGAATGACTCCAATATCCTGTTCACTTCGCCTGAAATGACTGCAATGCACCTAATTAATGGCTTGCACTTGAATGTTTTTTAACATACAAATAATAAAAAGCTTCAGAAAAAGCATTTCTGAATGTCAAAACATCCCTAATAAATGTTCACTGAAGCTGAACTCCTAATGTACAACTGTGTTCTCTTTTATTTCCCATGAACTCATTTTGTCATTCCTTGCCATCTAAGGAGAAGACGCCCGGTTGACAGCCTCGGCAGGCCGTCAGGGAACTCTGTCATTGTCTAAACCTGCCAAACTGGCTCAAACTAACTCATCCCCAACCGGTGTCTGACTGTGGCACAGTTAAGCGACAAATGGCTCTGCGGCCACGGGAACTTCCCTCGCTCGAGCCCTTTAAAGGATGCAAACCTTCTCAGGTTTTCCCTTTTTCAAAGATCTGAATTTAAAAAGTAGCCAACTTTAAGCCCCAATCCCATGTCCCCTCCATGCACCCTTCTCCGGGGCCAGGTCAGGGCGACGCTCCTCCCGGCAAGACGTGCCGTTCCACGCAGGACGCGGCTCCGGGGAGTGGGTGGAGCTCCGCGGCAGGAGACCCCCCCACTAATGGCCCCGCGCCCGCCCGCCCCGCTCCTCCCCCTGCGCCCCGCACGCCCCGCTCCGCCCCCTGAGCCCCGCTCCGCCCCCCGCGCCCCGCACGCCCCGCTCCGCCCCCTGAGCCCGCACGCCCCGCTGCTCCCCCTGCGCCCTCCGCCCGCCCCTCCTCCCGAGCGCCGGGGCCTGGGGGCGGCTCCGGGGAGGCGGCGCCGGTGCCAGGTTACCGGCTGGGGGATTCGGAGGGTCGCGGGCCTCGTACCCACGGCAGTGCGAACGCCCATCTAGGCTCACCAGGCCGGGCCACACCGCGGGCCCGCCCCGCGGGCACACGCTTCCTTCCTGTCCGCGCCCGAGCTGCGGGCGGGCGGCGCCCCGGCCTGGGGCCCGCGTCACGCCGGGGCCTCAATAAAGGGCTTTGTGGTCCCGGCCCCGCCCGCGAGGGGTCGGGGCGCCGGGCTTGGGATGCGCGCCCCGCGAGGTCCCGTCGGACACAGGCCCCCTGGTGAGACAGCCAGGACCGGGACCACGCTGGACGGAACAAAGGCCACGAGCCAAAGACAGGGCTGTAAGCTGGCCTTTCCATGAAAATGACACTTTTAAATGTAATGAGGTTGTGTTGAAGCCATTTGGGGACTGATTTGGGGACCATTTGGGGGGCCACTTAAAGAAATGTGCTGGGTTCTGACCTGTTCGCTGTGTGCCGTTCTCACCGGTGACGCTTGAGCGGCAGCGTTGTTGTCATTGCTACTGTTCACACCCTCTGGTGGGTCAAGGCCGTTTCAAACGCTAAAGCTGGAAACCCGTATGATGTGTTCTGTGTTCGTGTAAAGAGCAAGACAGGATCAGAAACCGTGGCCTGATGGACCTGTTTCTGAAGTCATTACACTATGGTGACTCAGGATGAATCTATATTTTAATACATCAGGTGGTCACCACTTGACGTCAGAGGACAATAGCTTACCTTTCCGTTTTGCGTGAGGGTTTTGGAGTCAGAACTGGTTTGGAATTCTAGTTCTGCCTCTTGCCAGTTTTCATAGCTTACCTACGTAACTTCTCTAAGCCTCCATTTCTTTATCTCTAAAACGTGTATAATACTCTTACAGGGTTGTTGTGAGGATTAAAGATCATGTCTAAATTCTCTGCCACGTGGTAAGTGCCTAATTATCCGATTTTGAGCCTAGTGACAACTTTATGAGATAGGCGATTCCAGTTGTAGAGAGGAGCAGTGAACTAAGAGAGCTTAAAGGGCTGCCCCGGGTCACGTAGCTAGTGAGTTGCAGGGCCAAATTTTGAAGCTAAGCACAGTACCCTCCTCGCCCTGACAAGCCACCTCTGATCCTAACTCGGGCCTAACTAGAATAGGCTCGAAGGGTTGACCCACCTTTAGAAGAGGTGCCTCTCAGAACCTGGAAGACAGGACTCGCTTGCTCTGTAATGTTTCTGGTCTGGTACTGATGGAAAAGGAGCAGCCAGAAGTGGAAGTAGGTATTAGGATTGAACTCAAAGAATGGTGAAGCCGTTAATGGATTGTGAAATCAACCTAGCAGATTTTAACCTGAATTTTTTTTTAATGAATTAGCATAGAATACAGGGTAATGAGAGTACATCATGCGAATAAGTATTGTTTTATGGAACTTTCATTCCTGTTATACACGTGCATACATGCAGTCGAAGTGGCAGATCCATGGCCTGTTCTCTTTTTACAGGAGAAGAAATCAGGACCCAGGGAGAGGATGTGATGAGTCCAGGGCCACACTGAGAGATATCAGACAGCCTGTGATTTCACCATATGGGAACTCCTTTTCTTGCATATGTAGATAATTCCTGACAATTGTGTTTAGTTATTTCCTGTGTGACTCACTTTGAACAAATCTGGTGGAAGTTATGGTGTATGACTTTTGAGACTAGGTCATAAAAAGTATTGTGGCTTCCTTCTTGCTGTCTCTCTTGGATCACTAACCCTGGAAGAGGCCAATTGCCATGTTGGAAGGACACCAAAGCCACCTTATGGAGAAATTCACATGCAAAGGAATTGAGGCCTCTGGCCAACAACGGGTGAGGTGGCCTCTTGCTACCAACCATGTGAGTGCGCAATCTTGGAAGCAGATGTTCCATGGCTCGCTCACGCCTTCCGATGACTGCAGCCCCAGCAGATAGCCCCAGCTGATATCTTGACTGAAGCTTCACGGGAGACCCCGGGCCAGAACCACCTAGCCAAGTCACTCCAGAATTCCTGGCCCTGAGACAATATAAGATGTTTGTCATTTTAAGCTTACAACCTTTGGGGTAATTGTTACACAGCAATTGATAACTAATAATACTATTAAATGTCTTATTGTGGAAGAAATGTTTTACGTAGAGGAAAATAGCCATATTTTTACAGTTGGGATTAATAATTTGATAAAAAAATGAATAAAACACTTTATGCTTTACCATTTACTGGGCAGCTGATTTTGCTAAATCTCATCCAGGACCAGTTAAGATCCTTAAAAACTGTCAACACAGAAAATATATGGTAGCCACCCTCCCCCACAGGTATTTAAAAACAAGACTAGCACTAAATCCTATAGAAGATGCATGGCTATCCAATAAAGGTCTGGTCTCCCCTCGTAATGACTGTTTAAGTATTTTCTGTTGCAATATCAAATTCTTTCTCAACATTTTTCCCTCTCCCCCTCCCTCCCTCTCTCCCTCCCCCCACCTCCTCTTCCTCCATTTCTCTGTCTCTATCTATCTATGCTCTCTCTCCCTCTGCTTTTCTGCCGCCCTACACACATCTTCCTGTTGGGTAAGCCTTCCCTGGTCACATCTCTTCCAGAAAGTTGGCAATTTTTATTTAAATTGGTTAAGAGTATTGCTGCCACCTAGTGTTAAAACTAAGGTACAAGGAGGGATGCAGCATACAAAAGAGACTTACATGGTAATAACAATCATAACATGCAACACAAAAACAATACGAGTGTAATAACATTTACTATGTTTGGGGCACTGTTCAAGGTACTTAATACACATTGCCTCATTTAATTATCACAACCAGGGATGCTATTATTAATTTAGAGATGTGATTTTAGGCATATTAGAGAAAAAAACTGTGGCACCTCAAGCATGAATAACTTTTCCAAGGTCACAGGATTTGAACCCAAGACTATCTGATTCTGATTTTTTGCTCTCGCCACCACATATACATTCTCGCAGGGTTGTAATTAGGACAAGGTTTTAGAGTATATACTTGTAAATATTTTTGCAACTGCCCTTTTCAAATGTTCTGTTAATTTCTCATCATATATGTATATATCTATGTACATATATATTCATATATTCCTTATATATAATGCATATGTATTCATTCTAATTTCAAAGAGTGATATTTTATTTCTTTTAACTTATTATGTAAATCACAGATGCAGCTTACAGTTTTTCATGGCTACATGCAAAACTTCATCTGCAAAAACTTTAAAACCACCAAAGAACACCACTGAAAGCCCTAAATGTTCTCAACCATTTTGTACTAGCACCTTCCTAATTCTCTCACTGCAAAACCACTCCTTCCCGTTTCCCTCTTTCTTCCCTCCCTAAAGTTTGTGTATGCCCATAGTTGTGTATGTCCGTTGTTCCTCTATTCATTCTACCTAGTCCTCTCAGCACCTCTGCTCTCACTAATGTAACTATCATTTTTCTCTAGATGGGTCCCAAATCTGATTCTCTAGCCAGGCTTGCCTTCTTTCCCAAATACATACCTTGCATTTCCATCGGTTTTGGGGAACTTTCTACCTGACTATCCTGTTCAGATGAAAATTTCGACATGTCCAAAATGTAATTCATCACCTACTCTGTAAACAAACCATCTCTTTTGTTTCTGGGGATGGTCCCGTGAATTTCCCATGAGCCAGACTTATATCATTGACCCATTTTTAAAGCATATTGATGGGCACGTACTCCATGCCAGCCATCATTCTTGGCCACCTTACATGACATCTGATACTCGGCAGTTTAGGAAGAAAGAAGATAATCATTTCCCTAGTACAGTTAAGGAACAAAAGAGTTTACAGGGCTAAAAAATGACTTGCTTACAATTATGCAACTAGTAAGTTTCAGAGCCAAATTTAACCCAGGTCAGTTTCACTCCTGACCTTTGAGATCTCTGGATCCCCTGGCTGGACTATGTATCCCTCTCTTTGTGAGATTTCTGTTGCATCCTTACAATAACATTCACCTACCCACCCATTCTATTTGAGGTTGACAGAGTATGTTTCTGTACCTTAAACACATTATTGCTGAATCAGAACAGAAAATAACAACCACAGCTGGTGTCCAGGCTGCTCTGCTTTCTGGAGAGGCAGAAGTTACAATCTCCCAGGTGCCCAGTTGTTAACTCCTGATCTTTGGGAGGCAAAGCAGGTCAGAATCCTTATCCTGACCCAAGACTATGGTATGTGATTTACAGCCTAGGATTCTCCCCAGGATGAAATCTGGAGCAGTGAGGATCCGTGGCTGGCTCTCAGGTGCGCAGCAACAGGTGGTGTTGAGCACTTTACACCAGAAGAGCTCAGCCCCGGACACCTACACATGAATTGCTCTATTGTGCAAGCCAGAAGCATTAATCCTAAGAGCAAGAAGAAAGATCTTTACACACCTTAATATGTGAGTCCTTTGGGATGTTACAATGTTGCCCTGTAAAGTCTAATTAAAACGAAGGATTTATCTGCCTCAGTCCAATCGACATTTCAGTTTCATGCTAATTTATAATAAGTTACTTTAGGGTAACTAGAGGGGCCAGCCCAGTGGCACAGTGGTTAAGTTCACCCGTTCCACTTCGGTGGCCCTGGGTTTGCCTGTTCGGATCCCCGATGTGGACTGTTTGTCAAACCATGCTGTGGCGGGCATCCCACACATAAAGTAGAGGAAGATGGGCATGGATGTTAGCTCAGGGCCAGTCTTCCTCAGGAAAAAGAGGAGGATTTTTGGCAGATATTAGATCAGGGCTAATCTTCCTAAAAAAAAAGAAAAAAAGTAAGAAAGTAAGAATAATTAGAAAATTAAGATGAGATCTCTAGGTGTTCATTGAATATTTTTCAAGTGTCTCATTTTATTGAATTTTCAAATATATTATAAATCACATCAACTGAACTCTTTTCCTGAGGAGATGGAGACCAGAGGAAGAGGCGTGTGCTCTGATACAAGGGTCTAACATGGAATCCAGAAACCTGGGCTCTAGACTCTTCTCATAAAGAGGAAAAGCTTCAAAGCCTTTGCATCATTTATGAAACCTAATAGCTCTCAAAAATATGTTTATGATTGATTCCATGAATTTGTCTAAATCTTTCACATAGAAGTGTTGACTTTAATAAGTCAGTAAATGACTTTTAATTTTACCTATTTCATCTTTTGCCATATTTATGTAAAAAATTCAATAAATTTAGGGTATAAAAGGATATAAAGTTTATTTATCCTAAAACTTCTTCTCTTGAAGATTTATATCCCACATTAACTGCATCCATAGACTTTTTAAATTTTTATGCATTTCAGTGATTCATATTTCATCTTAAGCTTTAATTCAATTAGATTCAAGTCAATTTAACACACATCTGTTGTGCACTTTCTGTATGCAAGACTGTGCTTGGCCCCTGCAGTCTAAAATTTGTCCCCACACCCCCACCCCTGCATACATAAGAAAAGCTCTCTTTTCCCTTGAATATTTAATTATGAAAAGTATACATTCTTAGCTTGGAGAAATATGAAAAAGAAATTATTGCCCCTCTGTCTGTCAGTTGTGAAAGTTGTCTTGTAAGAATTAAGATTCCTTTTTTAAGTCAAAATCTAAAACTGGAACGCTTCTAAGCCTCCGTAGGCTTAAATAAATATCAATCCACTTAAATTCAGGATTTTTTAAAAAAGGAATTATTTCAAAGTGTACAACTTCGTGTGCTTGCTCAAGCACTGACTTTCTAATGATAAACTTATGGATTTTACTCTCTAATTCTTTTTTGTCCGCTTGATCCTCTAAGATAAATTCTTGTTTCTCAGCTTCCATTTCTATTTTCAAGTATCAACAATAAATCAAAGGACACCCTCTGCCGTTCATTAGTAGACACTGCAATCTAATATGCTGATAATTTCTGAGGTTGATCCCATGTGTACTATATATGTGAGAAAGAAAAAAACAGAGATAAAACAGTGTAGAACAAACTCATTTCTATCCCACAGTTAAGCAAGGTCTTTCAAAGGCGTCTAAGTAGCTTCAGAGGGGGCTTCTGACTTGCAGGCAGTATCTATTTCTTAACCTGCTTAGCAGTTAAAAGGATGATTACTTTCTCACAATTTGTTAAATTGTACATTTATGTTTTATGCATCTTTCTGCATGTGCTATTTTTCACAATAAAAAGAAGCCTTCAGAATTGCTTTCAGGGGGCTAGCCCGGTGGTGTAGCAGTTAAGTGCACACATTCTGCTTTGGCAGCCCAGGGTTCTCCAGTGCGGATCCCAGGTGCGGACCTACACACCACTTGTCAAGCCATACTGTGGCAGGTGTCCCGCGTATAAAGTAAAGGATGGATGTTAGCTCAGGGCGAATCTTCCTCACCAAAAAGTATACCTAAAAAAAAAAGGGGGGCCAGCCTGGTGGCGCAGCAGTTAAGAGCGCACGTTCCACTTCTTGGCAGCCTGGGAAAGAATTGTTATCATTTTTTTTCCTATGGGGAAAGATTATTGCTTTAAAATATTGTTTATAAAAATGTAACTTTGATGATTACAACATTAAACAGCGCAATCTATTCAAAATGACCCCAAAAAAGCCACAATGCCATTTTATCTTTTTTTTTTTTGAGGAAGATTAGCTCTGAGCTAACTACTGCCAATCCTCCTCTTTTTGCTGAGGAAGACTGGCCCTGAGCTAACATCCATGCCCATCTTCCTCTACTTTATACGTGGGACACCTACCACAGCATGGCTTTTGCCATGCGGTGCCATGTCCGCACCCAGGATCCAAACCAGTGAACCCCGGGTCTCTGAGAGCAGAACGTGCAAACTTAACCACTGCACCACTGGGCCGGCCCCCAGAGATCTTAAAATATGATCTTAATAAAAGTCATATGCAAAACAGCAACATGCCACACATAGCTACTGTCGTGGACTGAATTCTATCCCCCCAAATTCATATAATGAAGTCCTAATGCCCCCCAGGAAAAGGACCTTTAAGGGGAAAATTAAGGTTGAATGAGGTCATAAGGGTGGGGCCCTAATCCAGTAAGAGGAAGAGATGCCAGGAGTTGCGTGTGCACAGAGGAAAGGCCACGTGAGGACACAGAGGGAAGGTGGCTGTCTGCAAATCCAGGAGAGAGGCCTCACGAGAAAGCCATCTTGTTAGCATCTTGATCTTGGACTTCCGGCCTCCAGAACTGTGAGAGAACACATTTCTGTTGTTTAAGCCCCCGGCGTGTGGTATTTTATTACGGCAGCCCTAGGACACGGGTACGGCTGCCAACCCATGACTCACTTTTGTTCCCATTCCTTTGTATCTTCTTTCCCCTTGTCCCTCTCTGATAAGAAATTAAATAACATATAGATGTGGTGGTTAAAAAAACATGTCCATAAATCCTTGCTATACCTCCTTTCCAGAAGAGCTGAACTCCTCTCCCCTTGAGTGAGGGCCAGACTTAGTGACTCTCTTCTGACAAGTAGAATGAGGTAGAAGTGACTGTGTATGACTCAGAGGCTCAGTCATAAAAGGCACTGTGGCTCCCTCTCTCTCTCTCAGATCACTTCCTTTGAGGGACGCCAGCCACCATGTTGAGCAGTCCTATGAATAGGCCGTTCGATGAGGAACTAAGGCCTCAAGTCAATAGCCATATGAGGGCGCCATCTTAGAAGTGGACCCTCCAGCCCCAGTGAAGCTTTCAGGTGACTGCAGCCCTTGCCAACCTCTTGACTGCAACCTCACGAGAGACTCTGGGCCAGAAACATCCAACTAAGCAGCTCTCAAATTCCTGAGGTACAGAAACTGTGAAATAACCTTTTATTTTAAGCCACTAAATTTGGAGTAATTTGTTACTCCAATAGATAACTAACACAATAGGCTAAACTATTCTTCCATAAGAGATAGAGACATAGAAGGAAAGATCTGGAGATGAGGAGGAGTTAGGAGGAGAAAGAAGTAGAAAGAAGGTGTAATGAGGAGAATTCCAAAGGTGCTCACTTTTTTAGAGAAACAAGATGAGTTTAGGGCAACTGATCTAAGAAGGAGCAATTTGGGGACAGAGCGATGTTAAAAGGTATATTTAGGAAACTTTGCTGTGCTATGTGGTAAAATATGCTATGTGGTATAAAGTGCCACGTGGTATAATGTGCTATGTGGAACTTTACCCTGTGTTCCTGAAAAACTTTAAGAAAAGATCTATGCATTTTAAAAATAACAATCCAACACTGGCCACTGATTTAATGTGTCCCCAGGCGTGAACCTCTTTTTTTTTTTTTTTGTGGAGGAAGATTAGCCCTGAGCTATCGTCTGCCACCAATCCTCCTCTTTTTTACTGAGGAAAACTGGCCTTGAGGTAACATCCATGCCCATCTTCCTCTACTTTATATATGGGACGCCTACCACAGCATGGTGCGCCAAGCGGTGCCACGTCTGCACCTGGGATCTGAACTGGCGAACCCCGGGCCACTGAGGCAGAATGTGTGCACTTAACTGCTGCGCCACCGGGCCGGCCCCCTCATGAACCTTTTATCTAAGTCGACTCTAGTAATTTTATCCTTCTTTACTAGACACTCAATTTCCCAGTTTTTCCTATAACTAGGGGTAGCCATAGGCAAAGCTCTGGCCACCATAAGAGGAAGTCTGCTGGGAAATTGTGGGAAATATCTTGTTTCCTGCCAAGGAGAGTAACACACTTAAGAATTTCCTAGCACTGCCCCTGACATTTCCTTGTGTCTTAAAAGTGTCTTGACCATATGATCCAGCTATTCTACTGCTGGGTGTTTATCCAAAGAATATGAAAACATGAATCCATAAAGTAACATGCACCCCTATGTTCATTGCAGCATTATTCACAATAGCCAAGACTTGGAAGCAACCTAGGTGCCCATCAAGGGACGAATGGATAAAGAAGATGTAGTGTATATATACCCGATGGAATACTACTCAGCCATAAGAAATGATGAAATCTGTCCACTTGTGACAACATGAATGGACCTTGAGGGCATTATGGTAAGTGAAATAAGTCAGAGGGAGAAAGTCAAATACCATATGATCTCTCATAAGTAGAAGATAAAAACAACAACTAACAAATACATAGCAACAGAGATTGGATTGGTGGTTACCAGAGGGGAAGGGGGGAGGGGGGAGGGCAAAAAAGGTGATTAGGCGTATGTGTGTGGTGATGGATTGTAATTAGTCTTTGGGTGTAATCTACATGGTGTAATCTATATGATGTATTCTACAGAAATCGAAATACAATTATGTACACCTGAAATTTATATACTATTATAAACCAACGTTACCACAATAAAAAAATTAATTAAAAAAAAAGTGTCTTGAAAGGTTGTGTGAGGCCATTATCTTGTGCCCAGGAGAAGACAAGCTGAAAGATGGAAGGGTGTGAAGCAGAGCGCGGCTGAACATAAGGACAGAAAGCGCCTAGAACCTTGCAGACACAACTGAGCGGCTGCATCAAACCTGGCTTGCCTCCTTCCAAGCTTCTCCTTAGGTAATAACTATTACCATTCTTTATTGCGTAAGCCACTGAAGCTACAATTAGAGTGGTTTCCTGTTATTTGTAGTAAAACTGTTCCTGACTGATACCTAAGATGAATATTTGCTTAAAGGTGACGCACTCAAGCAGGCGACAAAGTATGTGTGGACCTGAGACAGATGGCCTGATGCAGATTCTCCCTCCAGCCCAGCTAGGGGCCCTCCGACCAGGGAGTTACCTCCATGTCGGGGTTCTCCATCTGCAAGGTGGAGATAATTATGCTTTCATCATAGGACTGTCGTGGCCATTATTTGAAAACACATATTAGGTACTTAAAAGAACGCCTTGCCCGTATTATACAATACACATAAATTCTTGTTATTTTGAGAGTTTAAAAAGTAAAAACTTAGTACTCAAAGTCTTCAAAAACAATAGAATCCTCATAAAATGTGAAATTTATCAACTACAATTTAGGTCCCATGAATAATCTGCTAGTGTAACAGATTAGACAGGCGTGGAATGAATTTGTTTTTTAACTCTTCAGTGAAAAAAATTTCAAACAGATACAAAAGAAAAGAGATTTATATACTGAATCTCCATCTACCCATCACTCAGTGCCAGCAACTGTCAACACGTTCCAATCTTGTTTAATCTGTCGCTTTTCCTGTAAATACTGGGTAACTTTTTTGAAGTCATTGATGTAGCTTTAATTTCACACACACAAAATAAATGTGTATATATCTCCAGAACTAGCAGATTTTTAAAAAGTATTCCTATATTTATTCTGAATGTAAGACCTCAGACCGAGGTCTTAATAATTGCAGTTGAAAAAGCGTGGGTTTAGGAGCCGTCTATACACTGGGTTACAATTCCAGTTCCACCACTTCCTCGCTAGGTGATCAGGAGCAAGTTTCTTACTCTCTCCAAGCCCCAGTTTCTTCACCTGCAAAGAGAAGGAGATCAGCAGTCAGGACCCATTCCCCAGGGCCATTGTGAGAAATAAATAGCAGAACAATGGTGAGTAATAGCTGTAATTTACCAAAGGCGCCGGCCTGGCCCCAAGCTCTTCTCCTGCAGTGTCTTTAGTCCCTGGCCTGCAGCCCATGCCGGTGCTCAGCAAACGTTCCCTTTCAGTCCTAGGAGCCAATTTTATAGTGGTAAAGGTGACGGGGTGGCAGCCCTGCTTAGGGGAGGCTGGTGAGAGAACATAGGGCCTTATGGGCCAGTGTCCTTCACAAAGCGAGGCAGGGGTGGCTGAAGACACCCTTCTTTAATTTACAAACGAGTCTGGGCGTTGGGAGCAGGGAGGGTGCGGGGTGGAGTGAAGAGGAAGGAATGAGGTTGAAGTGTGGAGCCCACAAGAAAAGTACCATGTCTTGCCCCTGTCTGCACTGCTCTCCTACTCGCGCTCCTGACTTCACACAGCTGCTTCTGTTCTGCACTTTCCCTTGGGCTCAGTGGTTGGTCCCAACTCAGACCTAGTAAGGGGCGAGGCTGAGATTCAAACACACATCTGTCTCAGGATGCTGTTTTTCCACACAGCCATGTCATGCCCTTTTCAAATGATCTGAATGACAGTTATTTCTTACTATCTGGTCTGACATGTTAGACACAGCTTTGGGACTGGGGGATGTAGAGGGGTGGGGGCAGAAGAAGACAGGTGACCTGCGGTTGGTCTCAGAAACCCCATTTTATGGTCCCAGTTATCCAGGAAGATGGTTCCCAACAGCGCCTAGGCTTCTGAGGTTTGCATCACTGTTTGATGGGCCTGCAGATAAAGTTTGTTCTGCATCCAGGGTGAGCTCAGATGGGCTCATCAGCAGTGCTGACCCCTTCAGAGGGGGTGACGGCTGTCTGACCTTGGGAACCCAGTCACTTCCCAAGAAACACACAGATCAGCAATAAGCTGGGAACAGATTCTAAGAGTTAGGAGGGGATGATTCTAAAATCAATGTTTATTAGAGAGGAGGGCCTTCCCTTTTTTCTATTCCTCTCTCCAGGGGTCTTTGTCTCTAAACTGGGCTTTAAATGTAGAGTGGGAGATCTAATAATACTCATAAGAATCAAATGGAGAATGAGTTTAAAATGCATATTCCCTGGCCCTGCCGCCAACCTTCTCATTCAGATGGTCTGGGGGTGGGAATCAAGAATGAGCTTTTAAAAAATAAATGCCCAGGTGATTCTTTTTCAGGTGTTTTTGGACATTTCTCCAAGAGTGGCCAGAAGACCATTGCATCAGATGAGCACCTGGAGTCTTGTGAAAAACACAAATTCCATAGACATCCTGAATTTTAATCTGCAGGGGTGGCGTTGGAGGGGATGAGAAGAGAAGCCTAGGATTCTGCATTTTAAAGGGGCTTCTCAGGGGATGGTTGACTGGTAAATTTTAGGAATCAACTACCTAGGGAATAGCAAAATGTTCCCTTAGATGGGCCAAGGCCTGGGGGATCTATTTCTGCTGAAGCTCATTAAGCCACTTTGGGTTTATGTTCATGAGGAAACCACAACCCCAAGACCCAAGTGAGGAATAAGAACACACAGTTTTGAGAAGAGGAATTAAGTAATAACCAACAATGCTTCCACATCTAAGAATTTTTCTAACGTTTCTCCAGTAGGAACACCACAACACGTTTACCCTCTTTCTATCCTTACTTTGCCTGCAGCACAAGTTTTCTTACATATAGATGCTCAAAAAATGCCCATTACATTGACTTGAATGTATTCCCCTTTGAAGAGCCATACTTTCAACAAGTACTTTCATATATTTTTTACTGGTGGTGTTTGGACAAGCTTACGTGTATACATGGGCAAGGGGCAGAAGCGGTGGGTGAACAAAAGTGGGTTTCATAAACAAGGGAGATAAAACTTAGCGAGTTCCTGAGGAGACAGGTTGTAGCAGGAAACATAACTACAAGTTCTCATTTTGGTTTACTTCCTCTCTTGCCTTGGGATCTTAAGCAAGCTACTTTCATTTCTCTATTTCAACTGGGCCTCTTTTTTTTTTTTTTCTTTTTTTAAGGAATATGCTTTGTGGAATTATTTTAAGAAGTAACTAATACGAGATCGGAAAGCACCTTTTCCTCTTAGCCAAAATTGTGCACAAGAGAATCTCCACCATCTGGGCCAGTTCAATGAAAGAAGTGAATTTTCCTTTTTTTCTCTTTCCTTCCTCCTTTCTATAAAGTTCATTCACTTAGTAAATGTTTACTGAGAATTCATTATATGCTAGAAGCTGTGAAGACTTCTGGGACAGCAAACAAGACATAGTTACTCCCCGCTATGATTGGAAAAGCTAGAGCATTAAGGGTCTGAAAAGAGAAGTTGAAGGATCAGAGAAAAGTCACTAGCCCTCCTGTAGTGCTGGCACAGGTGGGCCAGATGGAGCTTGCAAAGTCTTCCGGGAAGCCAGGCACTTCAGCTGTCAGAGTGGAACCGTCCAGCCTGGAGACTCTGTTGGTCAGCAGGGCCTGCACTTGAGAGAAGAGCTGGGTGTAAAGCAGGGGAGAGCAAGGACATACGGAACCTGCCACCAGTATGGCGGAGAGTGGGGACAAGCTGGGATATGCCAGCCTCTCTGCGTGCTTCTCCCAGAGCATGCTGCTTTAAGTCCTAGTACCAAATAGGGAGAGAATCTACCTACCAAATCTCATGCCAGCTTCTTTTTTTTCCAACTCTAACATGAATCATGCAAGAAAGGGGATTCTGGGAACAGTAGTTCCAACTAGTCCAAATTAACACCATACATATGAGGAGCTGGCTAAAAAAGTGATGAAAGTTCGCCAGGAGGCCAACACACAATTGAAAGTGGAAAAATCAATGTTAAGATTGTGAGCAAAAGTGCTTGTTTAGGTCACAAGCTGTTTGTAAGTCCTCAAGACTTCTCTAAGTGGTCTCGTGTGTCAGCGCTAGAATTGTCCTACCCACGGCAACTGCTACATAATGTGAGGGTAGAAGTCAGCTGGTAAATGTAAGGCCAATACCCCAACACAGCAACCACAGGTGCAACAGTTTAGGAAGATCACTGGGTTTTTATATCTCCGGGTGACACAACAGTTATTAACAATCACTTTAAATTTTAATTTTTTGTCACATGCAGATTTATGAGGTATGGAATGCTCATCTGTTCAAACATTTGTTAATGCTTCTTGTATGCCACAGCAAAGAAAAGTGAAACATCCTACTGGCCTCTGCATGAACCAAACACACACCCTTCCACCAGCTTTTGCTTACCGTACATCAAATTCCCTGCCCGACCGTGCCAGATTCCCCACAAGGTTTACAAGAAATAAAACCTGGGGATAAGGGAGAGAGAAAGAGCCACATGACAAAGTCACAGGCTCTGAGGTTTCATAGACAATCCAGAAGAACTGGTCATAACTCCTTAAATTAAGGTGATTTGGTTAAAAATAGCAGAACTTCCAGGGAACTAGCTCCAATCTAAAGGGGGATTTATAATGAGGACAGTGGCTCATCTCACGAGACACAAGGGCAGGAATGCAGCCAGCCTTCATCAGGGACGGAAACCGAGAAATGAAGTCAGGAGCACCCCAGCCCATTTCATTTCTGCTTCTCTCTGTGCATTTGCTCCTTCTCCCGCCAGGCTGTTGTCTCTGTTCCTCAAAGCACAAGATGGAATACAGCTGCCTCTCTTGAGTTTGAAGTTATAGTTTGAAGCCATTGGAGACTGACTTTCTTTAAGTCCTAATGATGTGGATTAAGGCTGCCCCAGCTAGAGAAGCCCAAGGTGACCTGGCCTACATGCCAAACTATACGACCCAGTGGACTTTTTTTATGGTATGAATTAGGACCGCCCCAGGGAGAGAAGCCCAGGGCATCCTCACCTACATGCTGATCTATATGGCCAGATTCGTATCTAAAGTTATATGACCGCACAATAACCAGACCCCATCTGCACTGAAATCATTTAATGACTTTTTACATCATCTTTTCTTTTCTCCAGTAAAAATAAGTCACGTACCCGTGCCTTATAAAATTAGCCCTAACCCTCAACTCGGGGCAGCAGCAGGAGCTCTGACTGCCCATGGGTCCTGTCCCCATGCAGCAGCAGCAGGAGCTCTGACTGCCCATGGGACCTGTCCCCATGCAGCAGCAGCAGGAGCTCTAACCGCCCGTGAGTCCTGTCCCCACGCACCAGCTCTGCCTGCCCATGGGTCCTGTCCCCATGCCAGCAGGGGCAGCAGCAGCTGCTCTGCCTGCCCATGGGCCCTGTCCCCATGCTATTCCACACTATTCTCTAAATAAAAGAGCGCTACTGCCAGATCTTGAGAGTCTAAGAAATCTTTCTTTCGACTCCTCGGCTCACCGACCCCGCATCACTAATACCAAATAGGGTAAGAATCTGATTGGTTAAACTTGGATTCAAGGTCCTTTCCTTGAACCAATAAGCCTTGGTGGTGGGAGAAAGGGGGAACTTCAGTACAAACCTGCAGCCAGGGCCCCATCTCAGTGAGTGGGGGAGCACCCGGTCTCAACACACTGACTTGACTTATAGAGGATACAAGGTTAATCTAATGCCAATCAAGTGTATGGAGATAAATGACTTCCTAGGGAGACTCCAAAAATCAAGCCTACTCTTCAGCTTCCTACAGACAGTAACAGAAACAGCAGGAGCCAATGCAAAGTCAGAGGCCTGAAGATATGAGCATTGCGGGAACTGCGGTAAAGTCAGCACCAATTAATCAATGTCCGAGAGTGTAGTAGACCTTGTTGAAGGCCTCCCTGAACCATTTCCCCTGCTTCCTTGCTGTTAGAGCTCTGGTTTTGTTCAGGTATCTATCCTCCTCCGCTTGCTCCTGGGCTTGTGTGGATACTGGCTACTTCTTAAGCTCCTGAGGGTGAATATTGATTAAGCCAATCAAGGTAGTATCATTCCCTTTATCACTGATTGGTTTAGGCGTGGCAGGTGATATATTCTCACCAAAGACAGGAGGTAAAATCCACTGGGAGTTTCTGGGCAAGATTTCCTCACTCCTAAAAAAGTACGAATGATGAGATTATGTTTTCCTGTTTGTCCCTCCTCACGTCTGGATATTGAATATACCTGGAACTGCTACAGCCATCTTGTGACTGTAAAGAGAGCTGAGCTAACCTAAGGAAAAAGACAAGAAAGGAAGGAAAAGCTAGAAAATGGAAAGACTAGGGTCAGTGATAATGTCATTTATCAATGAATTAACTATCTTGGGAGCCATCCTACATTTGGAATTCTTGTATGGGATAAATTTTCTCAATTTTTAAGCCACTTTGAGCAGATTTTCATTCACGTGCTGCTGAAGACATGCTAACTAAAACAGGGGATGTGGTGGGAATTAAGGCTAAAAAGGCAAGCAAATCGGAGCCCATGTACAGAATCAGGAGTCAGAATGGAGTCAGGCTTCCAAGCAGCAACCCTGAAAGCTAGATGATGAAATTATGGAGGAAAGTATTTTTCAATTTAGAGTTTCACCCTGCCAAATTATCTTTCAAGTATGACAGTAGAATGAGAATATTTTAATACAAACGAGGTCTCAAAAATATACCTACACTGAATTCTTTCTAGGAAACTAGAAAGAATGTGCTTCTCCAAAATGAGGGAATAAACCAAAGAAGAGGAAGACATGAGATCCAGTAGACAAGACCTCCGTTGTGAGAGGAAGACACGGGATCCAGTAGACAAGATCTCCATCATGAGAGGAAGACATGGGACACAGTAGACAAGATCTCCATCATGAGAGGAAGACATGGGATCCAGTAGACAAGACCTCCATCATGAGAAGAAGACATGGGATCCAGTAGACAAGACCTCCATCATGAGAGGAAGACATGGGATCCAGTAGACAAGACCTCCATCATGAGAGGAAGACATGGGATCCAGTAGACAAGACCTCCATCATGACAGGAAGACTTGGGATCCAGTAGACAAGACCTCCATCATGAGAGGAAGACATGGGATCCAGTAGACAAGACCTCCATCATGACAGGAAGACATGGGATCCAGTAGACAAGACCTCCATCATGACAGGAAGACATGGGGCACAGCAAACAAGATATCCATCATGAGAAGTGAAAAGAAGTCCCACAATGATAGCTGTGGACAAACTTAGAGGACACTTCTACAAGTTGCAAAGCACAAGGCTCCAGAGGAGATTCCCTGAAGATGATAAAATGATAAGAAAATATCTGATGCACCTGAATACGATGGGAGAAGTTTTACAAAACTGACCGAAAATTGGAGGAGTTGGGGGAGTTAAGCAGAAAAGGAAAACTTGTCAAAATATACTACATGACTCAACTTGGATTCACATTTATATGAATATTTGTGCAAAATTATGATATAATTTTCCTGGCAGCATGTGTGGACAGGAGAGTGTGAGTGTGAGTTTGTGCATGAAATCTTCAGTAGTAGAAAGTCCATAGATACCTAAAATTTTTAACTTGAGTAGCAACATAAGCATTTTATTCAGAGATAAGGAGGAAGATATGAAAATAATCAACAAGAGTGAAAGTTGTAGCCCCTGGGGAGAGGGAAATTGTAATGGGCAGGGGACAGAGGACTGAGGCATGCACAGCAATCTTTTAGACTGTTTTTCTGTGGGCATTTTAAACTGTGATTAAAAATATTTTAATGGAGGCCCCCCAATGGTGCAGTGGTTAAGTTTGTGTGCTCTGCTTCAGCGGCCTGCTGTTCACAGGTTCAGATCCCGCATCATTTGTCAAGCCATGCTGTGCTGGCATCCCACATATGAAATGGAGGAAGACGGGCACGGATGTTAGCTCAGGGACGGTCTTCCTCAAGCAAAAAGAAGAAGATTGGCAACAGATGTTCGCTCAGGGCCAATCTTCCTCCCCCCCACCCCAAGAACATATGTATTTTAATGGCAAGATGTAAAAAGAAACAATCACTGCAGAAAAGAAAAGGAAGGAAGACTTAAGTAAAAAGTTTAGGTAGAAATGTGAAAACATCATCCCAAAGGAGAGGGAGTGAATGGCCTCTATTGGTTGTAGCTGACTGTGTGGCAGGAGGTCCTTGCATGCCATCAAAGGAGTGCAGAATTTATCCTGGAAGAAATAGGATTCAAGGAGTTTCAGTGTGGGTGTGGCATAATCAGATTAATCCTTGGAAAAAGGGAAATCACTACAAGTTAGGATAGAGCAGGGTTTAGAGAACATGAAAACTAGAGGCAGGAAGACCAGTTAGAAAGTTTTGCACAAGTTAATGGAGTCAGAATTGAGGGCTGGAACCCAAGAGGGGAGGTGAGGAGAAGCAGAACCCCTGTGGGGAGACCAAGGAGGAAGGCTTCCTGACTCACTGGATGTGAGCGCTGTGGGGGAGGGAAGAAACTTAGAGGACACTGGTTTGAGCAGTAGTGAGGTCCCAGGGGCAGCCCATTTTCATAGGAATGTTCCCAGCTCATTAGTTTTGCGGAATAAAATAAAATTGGCATAATTCCTCTAATCCCAACCCCAGCTGACCCCCCACTCTTGGGGCTATCCAAAGCACAGGTCAGATCTCTTACTACAAATTTCATTAATAGGCTTAATTAACGCAAAAGTGTTACAGATTAATTTCATGGCTGGTGTATGGGACTGGAAAGCCCCTGGAAGTCCACCAAGTTCCTGGCCTCCTGAGCTTAGATGAAGACTTTGGAAAGTTTTCACAGAGTTTTGTCGTTGTTGCTTATTTCTTTGATTTTTGCTGCAGCAACATGCCTTCTTGGCATTCTCAGGGAGAACACTGAGTGCTCACAACTTGCCAGGCATTGGACTTACATTGTTCCTTTCTGTCTTTACTCTATCCTATTTACAAATGAGCAGCTGAGGCTCAGAAATGTTAAGGAACCTGTTGCCGATACATATCACTTAGCTAGCAAATCCAGAGCTGGGATCCAACTCACTCTTGGTGTGAATCCAAAGCTTGGTCCCTGAGCCACTACAGGCCCCTGTGCTCTCGCTGTAAGTGGCTCCACTCTCTGCTTTCCCGGAATGAAGAGGTCTCCCAATAGTCAATACTTGCCTTCATCTGTGAGCCAACTGCTTTGCCTGCTCTCAAAATGGTATTTAGAAACAATATATGGGTACCAGTATTGCTCATTGCATTGAGATGTCACTATTGCCAGTTTTTCAAGGGACAGATCTAATCAATACATGTGTGTATACACATATTTATATATATGTGGACGTGTATATATGAATACACATATGTAAATGTATATACACATATTTACATCTATATTTCTATATCTGTCTCCATATATTAAAAAACATGAGTTCAGGGACCGGCCCGGTGGTGCAGCAGTTAGGTTCACACGTTCTGCTTCTCAGCGGCCCAGGGTTCACCGGTTCAGATCCCGGGTGTGGACATGGCACTGCTTGGCAAGCCATGCTGTGGCAGGCCTCCCACATATAAAGTAGAAGAAGATGGGCATGGATGTTAGCTCAGGGCCAATCTTCCTCAGCAAAAAGAGGAGAATTGGCAGTAGTTAGCTTAGGGCTAATCGTCCTCAAAAACAACCCAAAAAAACAAAAACCACGAGTTCATACCAATGCTTCCAGTTCCAATCCACCACGATAAGACTTATTCTAATTTTCTTCCTTTCCATATTTTTAATCCCTTCTCCAATAGTGAGAAACCTGGCTCTCATCATCCTTAATATTTGATTCATCTTCCTGAGTATAATCAATCTCCCATCACCTCTGCTGTCCTCTCCCCCATGACCATACCCTCCTCATCTCACTTGCATTCCAATACTCTATGCCAGGCCACCCCACCCTCTGTGAA